CCCCAAAACCCCAAAACCCCAAAACCCCAAAACCCCTTGACAATTGGTGAATTGAATTTGATATATTAATGATATAAGCTTAAAATATGACTTTTAAGCCATTCAAAACTTATGGCCTTATTGCCAATAAGAGTAGCTAAATTGGACTCTATTTCTGCATGCTTGTTAGCGAAAATTGGTGACTTTAATAAGTCAGATTGGGATACTTCAAAATCTGAGGTATCAGTAGTGAGATCTTCAAGGAGAAATTCAGCAACTTCTTCATTCAAAATGTCTTCTCTTGCTGTTATGGCAGCAATGAATTCAGAGTAGCTAAGTTTATGACTATGGATCTTAGTGAGGGTCTTAGTCGTCATCAAGGTTTCAGCAGCCGTCAGGTCAGAAAGTTTTCTGGTGTCCCTACCAATTATCTTGGCAGAGGTTCTTTTTGATTCCTTTATGACAGGGATGTAACCCAGGTTATTCTTATCGCATCATAAAAATTTCTCAGCCGCCTCAGAAACTTTCTCGTGAGATAGATATCTCACTGAGTAACTCAGAAGAGCTTGAGAAAAGTCTGATAAACACAGGAATTTTTGAATCTTGGTGATCTCATTGTCGTGGAGATTGTAGTTAACCTCAAACCTTTGAATTTCTTGGAAACATCCATGTTTGAGGACCTCACCTATTTTAATCCTTTTCTTAGGATCTTTTGTGAGCATCTTTTCAATGAGATCGAGGATCTCCACAGGAGTATCTTCCCAGATTCTTCTGGGAACAAATTCTAAGAAGTCCATAGAGACTGCTTCAAATAAGTCATGGTGTGTATCACCATCAAATGGATAGGTGTCGGAGATCATATTATAAAAGATAACTCCCAGAGACCAGACATCTGAGCAAAAGTCTGACTTTCGTGTGAAGGATTCAGGTGCCATGAACTGTGGAGATCCAGCGTAGTTGCTGTCCCCTCCGCTTACTTTGGCTAGACCAAAATCAATAAGTTTTACTGAATAGCCTAACTTTGCATTGACATCTTCTCAGATAATAATGTTCTTAGGTTTTAAGTCTCGATGGATAACGTCTTGATTCTTGAGATATTGAAGTGTCTTACATAAGAGATACATTATATTCAGCTTGGCTGCACAGTACCCTCTGGGTAGGATGGCTCAAGCCTGGTCCAGTGTTTCTCCATGTCAGTACTCAATTACAGCATCAACATTTTTATCATTTTCATAGCTTGTAAAATATTTACAAATTCCTGGGTGATCCAACCTGGATAGGAGGTAAAGCTCATGGTAGATTGCTCCTTTCAAATTTTCGTCGTAAACTACCAGATCCTTTTTCTTGGTTTTATCTTGCAAGGACTTTTCAATGATCTTAGGCATAGACTTTACAGCGTAGAGGGAGTCCTCTAGGGCTCCCCTCGAATAAAGTCCCACTTTTGAGTAAGACCCAGAGCCCAAGTCCTGGAGATAGCTAAACCCAGACGGGCTTAGTGAGATATTATGTTGTTTTGCCTTAAAATCGTTGTTGTCAAGGAACTCCTCATGGTACTTTACTGCAACTATCTTTTTAGCTCGATGTTTCTTCGTTAACTCTGGTTTGCTTATATTTTGTCTAGTAGTTGCTCAGCCCATTGAAAGGTTATTCTAATATTATTCAATTTCTGGAATAAAAATTGGGGTTTTGGGGTTTTGGGGTTTTGGGGTTTTGGGGTTTTGGGGTTTTGGGGTTTTGGGG